ACTAGAGGAAGAATTCTCACCATCTCTTCAGGGCCTGAGCATATCCTCAACTAGACCCTGGGGTAAGATCAGGGAGGTTTTACTTGGTTCAGGCCTGTGTTCCAGGACATATGTATTTGTTTTGCTTTGTGGGTGGGTGCCCATCTGCCGGATTCAACAATTCTTTCCAGCAGTGAGAATGTTTTATGTGTTTCCTAATACCTGTACAAAAAAAAAAAAAAAAAAAAAAGAGGGGATAAATTGTTATCCTTAAAAAAAAAAAAAAAAAAAACTCAGCATCTGGCATGTGAATGAGCATATTTGGATTCCAATGGATGAGAGCAGGTAGAATATCTTTTTAAATTACCCTCTAGAATATTAAAGTAGAATCTCCATATTTAACATCCTAACCCTAAAGCAGCTCAGCAATCTCAGAAAGGGCATAACTTGGCTTTAGAAATTTGATGAGTTGGATGTACACTAGTATATAAGTTGGCCCAAGGATACATGCATTAGAACCTAAGTACACAATATAGTATATAATCTGGAAGTCATTATAGTGAGTTTGAATTGAGGAAATTTTAAATCAAGGTTTTGGATTCAAGGATATGTTTCTGAGTAAGCAACCCCTTCTTCAGAGACCCTATGATCCAGGAAGCCAAATGAATTGTAAAATCCCTGGTATCTTGAACAATTTCTAGGCAAATCTATCTCCCAACACACACAGAATGGGTCAATATAATGTCAATTTCTCTATCACACAAAATGACCTGAATTGCCTATTATGAATTGAGGGCTTTCTGTACCTCCTTCTCAAAGAAGTCACGACTGTCACCAAGTAGAAATCATACATTCAAGTTTACATAATTATTACCATTTAATTATTAATAATGATTAAATAAGCTTCATGGAGTATTTGCTACTTCAGTCAACACTTCATACTGTATCACCTGCATTAACAAATTTGGGGTGCTCAGGGGTATAGCTCAGTTGGTATACTTGCCTAGCATGCACAAGGACTCTAGGTTCAATCCCCAGCACTACCAAAGAAAAAAAAGAGAGAGAGAGAGAGAGAGAGAGAGAGAGAGAGAGAGAGAGAGAGAAAAGAAAGAAAGAAAGAAAACAAATTGGGGTCAACTATATTCTGAGTTCACCAACAGAAAGAAAACCTGACTTATGAATGGGTCTGTCTGGTATTGACTGCACAATTTCCACAGAACAGCTAACTTGTACCCTCATTTGTACATATCCACATGAAATAAGGAAATACTCATTTCCTCCAATAGGATGAGTAAACAACAATAGAGAATACCACTGAAAGTGGCCACAAGAAATCCCAGCTTCTTATATAATTATGGGTGATGGCTAATATGAATAAATGGGTTAAGATTTTAAAAAATTGGAGTATTAGGTTCAGCTAAAAATTGAACTCATTGTCGGCTGTCATTAAAATTCATGTGTCACATAGACTTGAATACCAGAGGAGAAAAAGGACAGGAAGAACACACATAATGTCAACTTGGCATGGCCAAGTTGATAAACACACTTTCTTTTTTTTTTTTTTCACACTTTCTTAACCTGAAGAAGATACAGCAATATTTTAGTTATTTGAGATTTGGAATAGTACCAAAAATGACATGTCAATATAGAATTATGTGGGCTAGATTATACTGCAATAACAAAACCCCAAATCTCATTTCTCTTAGGTATATACTTAGGAATGGAATTATTGGTCATATGAAAACCCTATGTTTAGCTATCTGAAGGACTGCCAGATGGTTCTTGTATCATTTTACATTCCTGCCAGCAGTGTGTGAGGGTTCACATTGCTTCAGATCCTTGCCAACACTTCTTATTGCCTATCTTTAAATTATAGCCATCCTAATTTATGAGAAGCGTTATCTTGTGATTTTTTGATTTGCTTTTCTTTAATAATTAATGTTGTTGAGCAACCTTTCACATGCTTATTGGCCATTTGTATTTCATTATCTGGATGTCTGTTCAGACTCCTTTGCTCAGTTTTGCTGTTGCTGTGTTGGAGTTTTAAATATTTTTTCAAAATTTTTATTTTAAATTGTGGTACAATACACATAAAATTTACTATCTCTTTTTTTGGGGGGGAGGGGGTTACTGGGGATTGAATTCAGGGGCACTCACCCCCTGAGCCATATCCCCAGCCCTATTTTGTATTTTTATTTAGAGACAGGGTCTCACTGAGTTGCTTATTGCCACCACACCCAGCTTACTTTCTGTCTCTACAAATATATCTTTTAAGTACCCCATATAAGTGTAATCATTTTGTACCTGGCTTATTTCACACAGCATTTATCCATGATGTGGAATGTGAGAATTCCCTTCTTTTTAAGGCTGATGAATATTCCATTGTACATATACACATCATATTTTGTTTCTATTCATCTATCAATGGACATTTGGGTCACTTTCACCTTTCAGTTATCATGAATAATGCTATTGTTAATATCCGAGTAAGTATGTTTGAGACCCTGCTTTCAGTTCGGTTGGATATAAACTCAGAATTGGAATTATTGGATCATACAGTAAATCTATTTTAAATTTTCTGAGGAACTGCTGCACTTGCTGTACCACTCTACGTTCTTAGCAACAGTGCATAAGGGTTCCAATTTTTCCTTCCTTGTAAACACTTCTTTCCTCCCCATCCTCTCGTTCTCTCTCATGGGTCTGAGATGCTTCTTATTGTGACTTCATTTCATTTCCTTAATGATTAATGATATTGAACATTTTTTTCATGTTGGACATTTGCTACCTTCTTTGGGAGAATGTCTATTCAAGTTTTTTTGCTCATTTTTTAATTGGGCTATTTGCTTCATTGTTTTATTTTTAGTTATTTTTTAAAATATTTACTTCTTAGTTTTAGGTTAACACAGTATCTTTATATTTATGTGATGCTGTGGATTGAACCCAGTGCCTCATGCATGCTAGGTGAGCACTCTACCACTGAGCCACAACCCCAGCCCTAATTTTAGTTCTTTATCCATTCTGAATATTAACATATCAGATGATTTTCAAAAACTTTCCCTAATTTTAATGAAATCCAATTTGTCTATTTTATCTTTTGCTACTTATGTTTTTCATATTCAAGAAACCATTGCTATATCCTATGTCACAAAGTTTTTCTCTGAAGTTTTCTTCTAAGAGTTTCATAATTTTCTCTCTTACATTTGGGTCTTTGATCCCCTTTATTTTTGTATATAGCATAAAGATATGATTTCATTCTATTGCATGTGGCTTTTTAGTTTTCTCCATACTATTTGTTGAAAGATCTTTCTCACTGAATGGTTTTGGTACACTTGCTGAAAATCATTTGGCCACATATATCTTTATTTTTGGCTTTTATTCCATGTCAGTGGTCTATTTTCTGTCTTTATGTTGGTACCACTCTTATCATGATTACTGTAGCTTATTATTTTTTTTCCAAGATTGCTTTTGCTATTTGGGATCCCTTGAGATTCTGTTAAGTTTCAGATTTTTTTTTTTTCAAATTCTGTAAGAAACTTTGATTGGTTTAATGGGGCTGTTTATCGTTTACTCTTCAGTAAGAGTTCTTTAAAAGTTCTAGAGATAGGTACCTTATCAAACATGATTCACAATTTAGTACCCTATAGGTTATTTTTTTATTGCTTGTAGATAGTATTTTTAGAAGCACAAGTCTTTAATTTTCATGAAATTCATACATGTTTTTCTTTGGTTGTTTGGGCTTTTGTTGTAAAAAACTAGGAAATAATTGCTTAATACAGTCACAATATTTACACCTGTTTTCTTCGAAGAGTTTTACCTCATATTTTGGTCTTTGGTCCATTGTGAGGTGATATTTGTATAAGGTAAGGTTTCAATTCATTCTTTTGTATGTGAAATATCTGATATTCTCAGTGGCATTTATGTTAGCCACTATTAAATTTTGTTACCCTTGTCAAAATTCAATCAATCATAAATGTGAGGGATTATCTCTGATCTTTCAATTCTATTCCATTCATCTACATGTCTATCCCTAGATCAGCAACATCCGGTTTATTAGTTTTCCAGTTGTTTTAAAATCAGGAAGAGTGAGTGCTCCAACTTTCTTCTTCTTTAAAGGTTATTTTGACTATTCTGTATATTTTAAATTTCTTGAATTTTAGGCCTTGTTTGTAATGATCCAAATTTTTGTTTTGTTGTATGCCATTAGGACAATTTTAAGTGGTTGTTTTATTTTTCTGTAGATATGGCTGTTTTGCTGGGAAGCAGGTCTGCAAAGCTTCTTGTGTTCACATTCCAGAAGGGGATGTGATTTTTTAACTGTATTTTTGTGGCTTCCTCAGCCACTACCCAAGTAATTACAATATGCATTACAAGTCATCTTTAGCATAATACTCATATAATCTGAAAAAAATACAATAACTATATAATTTTTAATTTCCTTACCCCAAATTTAAACTATTTTGTTACAAACCACTTTACATGTCGTCTAATTAGTCTTTTATATAAAAAATATTTATTTTTATAATCCTCAAGTCTTTCAGTGGATTTGTTATTGTCTTGTATAACTTCCTTTCAGCCTTTTGGGTTTTCTTCAGCAATTCTCTTAAAGCAAGTTGGCTAGCAATGTTACTTTCTAGGTGTTAATTAGAATCTAGGCATGTTTTCATTTGGCATTTATTTTGAAGTTTTGGTTGATAGTTCCTTTTCTTCCATCACATCAAATACATGATTCACTGCCTTCTAGCCTGCATTATTTTTGATGTCAGCTGTTACTGTTGATCCTCTTTCAGATGAATCAGTTTGCTCTTTTCAAGATTTTCCCAAGTTGTTTTTTTTTTTTTTTTAATCTCCTGTCTTAGACTCTCATTATTTGTACTGGTCTGTCTTCTGTTGTTTCAGATTTTAGTATAAAGCTTACCTATAATGAAATGGGACTGTCTCCTTAAGAAGCATTTGATTTTTTTCTATTTCATTTATTTTTTCAAACTTAGTTTACTATTCATATTAGTTTTAAAAATGTGGCATTATATTTTGTTTCCTTTCAGAAATATAAGGGCATAGCACTCAGGAGTTCATTCTGCATACACAGCATTAAGAGGTGACAAGAATAAAATAACAATTAATGATCTGAGTGTTTCCAGTTGCAAAATCAAAACTCTCTTCTTATACAGTGACTAATATGGAGAATGAGCATGAAAAGTAGTGCTCTTCTTCTGGAACAGACAATATTAATAAAACCTTAAATGCAATCTTTAATGAAAAGTCATATGCATTATAAATAGTGGTAGTAGGTGTGATGTGGAGATGGCTACATATGCTTTAAGAATGCCACATCTTTTATCATACAAATTTCAAATATTTCTTGGCTACATCTTATAAGCATTTTAAAAGAATGGAGCTACATCAACTAAAGGATAACCAATAAATATAATTCTTCATTAACACAGAATGTTAACAACAATGATTAAAATATTTTCCCTCATATAGTCAAAATACTAATCTTCATTTACAAATCTGTAGGCAAACATGTAATTACCAAACAATGTATAGCACAGAAACAACAAAGTGTTGTAAGTCTAGTTATCATAATAGGTTTTCTAATACACATAATTATCAACAATTTATTATAAAAACCTACATATACAATTAATATTTGATCAAAAGTCTTTTAAAAATATATTCAAAATGAAATGTGTAGAAAGAGACATTTCAAAGTCATAGCAGTTACTACTGTTACAATATTTAATCATTTTTACAATAGGTCTACGGGTCCATTTCAATTAAATTCGTTCTCAGAACCATCACATATCTTGTTGAATTTCATTTAGAGCACAAGCAAGTTGCTTAATTTTTTCTTCCATTGCTTTTTTGTTCTTGCATGTTTCTTCCAGAAGTTCACGCATTTCTTCTTCAACTTGATGCACCTAAATCAACATGTAAACTTTACTTTTTTTAATTTCCTAAAGAAAACATACGTTAAATGCATTCTGAAAGAAAAAAGTCAACAACTTATTATGTATTTTGTAATTTGTGACTCATTTAATAAGATTGGTAAAATATAACTTATTCAAATGTTATTAGGGAAAATACAATGTTTGTATAGTATAAAAAGTACTTTCATATATATTGATTTAGTTCTCATAAAGTCCTTGTGGAAAAGACATGGTAATATATTTAAACTCTATTTTGGAGCATAGAGAATTTCTTTAAGGTTGTACAGTCTCTGTGTATCACAGTGGGGGCAGAGTTTTCCGATTTATTCCTTCTACTATCATGTGTGGCCTATATATGTTCAGTCTTATGTTCAACTTAAAAAACATTTCCTCATAGATCTTCAAAACCTTCAAAATTTTCAAAACCTTGAAATAACCTTCCTCCCCAAAGAAACCTTTTTAATGTAGTCCCTACTGCATTTCTGAAAGTGCTATTGATGGTTCCATATTATCATTTTTAAGAGATCATTTTATAATTTATTCCTAACTTACATTTCCCTAGGTCCTCTGTATCTGACACTGTTAACTTCTGCTTGAAACATTCTTCTATAACATTCTTGATACACCAATATGACCATCCTTTTCTACTTTTCCTAACCCCAATATACATTTCCTAATCTCTTTTCCATGGTTTTTAACTGTCAGCTCTATGTGATTCTGAATACTACTTGCCTGCCCCCCCCCCCGCCCCCCCGCCGGCTCCATACCTGATTATTACATTTAAGCTGTGGTTCTGTTTCTCCAACTCCTTTTTTAAAATGAATTCCTTCCTTCCTTTAATGCTACTGACCTTACTGGCTGAAGGTCCAACACTGAACTCAGTATTTTCCTTTAAGTTAAGGCCCTAATCTTATATATTTTATTCAGAATTACCCGACATATTCTAGCTTAATACTTGGTAGATGTTAAATAAAAGACCTGAAATATCTGTCGATTTGAAATAACTGAATTTTGTAGTTATTTTTATTCATTGAGATTACTTCCAAAGATCTCTTTCTGTTTGCATGGAGTTATGAGGTTATTTCGCTTGAAGCCACAACTTTAAATTATATCCTAGATAGAGCATTACTTTGCCTTCTGTTACTTCTTTTCCAGTTGCTCATTTTTAAATTTCTAGTCTTGGACACCTAGTTTCTTTCTTTGTTTTGTTTTGAGGACTGAACTCAGGGGCACTTAACCACTAAGCCACATCCCCAGTCCTTTTAAAATTTTATTTAGAGACAGGGTCTCACTAAGTCGCTTAGGGCCTCAATAAGTTGAAGCTAGCCTAGAACTTGTGATTCTCCTTCCTCAGCAGGTTGAGCCATCCAAACAATTTAGTTTCTTATTACCACTCAAAATTAAGGACAAATGGAGATTCAAAGTTGACTCTATTGGATCTTGCACAGGGGTCATACCAGAATCAGCTGTGGGATTTTAAAAATACCTGAGCCTCCAGTCAAGGTATAAAAATCTTGAGGGAAGGCTCATGAATGAGTAGTATTAAAACATTCAAAGGTGCTTCTAATGTTTGCTTTTGATTTAGCATCACCTGAAACTTATTCTTTTATCAACCTTCAAGATGATAAGGCTGATAAGTTTTGAACTATAATGAATATAATGAATAAAGTACTTTTTGAGAATTTTTTTCAAAGTTCTCTCCTCACCTAGTATAGACAAAGGAATTGATTGGTTAGAGAGATGAAAATTTTCATCCAGGGATCATGGATCAGGTACACACAAGGATCAAATTTACAATTTTGGAGGCTGGGGCTGTAGCTCAGTGGTAAAGCATTTGCCTAGCATGTGTGAGACACTAGGTTCAATTCTCAACACTGCATATAAATAAATAAAATAAAGGTCCATCAACAACTGAAACCATATATATAAATTTTTTTAAAAAGTTATAATTTTGATTTCATTAGAATTATGTCCCACAACTAATCAAAGTATTACCAAACCTGGCATCATGACAGTTTTTGGTAACACCCTATCTATTAGTTCACAAAAACATGCTACCTTTTCCCTTTGTAATTTCCAAAGATCTAATTTATTCAGTGATAACTATTTAACACTGATTATCATAGTGAATTTTACTTACAGTACCTTTAAATTTGCAGAATCAATACATTTCTGCTTTTCAGTTTCCAGTTGTATTATTTCAGCTTGATGAGCTTCAACAATTGCATCGACTTGTTTCTTAAAGGCATCATCCAGACAATGAAGCTTTTTCATTGCATCTCTTAAAAAAAGTGAGAAAAACCCTATGTATATATGTGTGTATGTGGAGGGTATGTATACAAGTGTTTTTTTTGGGGGGGAGAGGGGTTTCCATATGCTGTGTTATTGATACCACTTTATATTTTGATACAAGAACTGATCATTAAACTATATAATAACATTGTTTAAAGAAACTTCAAGTTTACAAATTTTAGAACTCCATTTATATACAAGGTAAAATTTTATTTCCTCTTTGAGTCGTACACATTTTATCCATCTCAATTCAGTACTTATGTTTAAAGAGACCCCACATCCTGTAGGACTTAATGCTTACTTTTGTAGTTCAATACTTTTGTCTCTTTCAGCTTTAAGTTTCTTTTCCTTGTTTTCAAATTTTACTTTTGCTTCTTTTACTTGCGTTTCAAGGTGACATAAAAGTTCTCCTTTATCATGCCATTTCTGATTAAGTGAACTAATATGAGAAGTAAATTAAAAAGTAAGTTAGGTATATGAAATTATGAAGTCACTTTTTTTTTCTGTGAGAAACACTGTATAATACCTGTAAGCTTTTCTAATTTCTTCAAGTTCTAATTCCTTTGTTTTCAACTGTTGTTTTAGTTTTTCCTTTCTTTCATTGTGTCTTTCCAATTTCTCAATTATAGTATCCAGCTGTGCACATTTTTCATCAAGTTGTTCTTGAGCAGATTTTTCTACTTCCGTGATTTTTTCTTTTAATGCTCTGATTTGCTCATCTTTTTCTTGTACACTCTTTAAGAAAAAAAAATCTGTACTTCATTTTACCAATCTTCAATTCAATGTTTCATATTCTGATAAGATATGGCTTATATTATCATTTAAAAGGCTATTTTAAACATGCTAATTTTTTATGACTCCTAACATTTTACAACACTATTTCCAGTTTCTTTAAAGGCCATACAGAATTTTCTTTAAAATTCAAGTTAACAAACATCAGGTAGCACTTTTAAGAACAAAGGGGCAAATATTATAAAGGAAATACATGACATTTGTTTTATATTCTACAACAGTTGGGAATCATTGAGACAAATTATTTTGTGGATGGATGCTATGATCCACAGATTTTCAAACCCGCCATTTGCTATTTTTCAAAACTAAAATGTCAAACTTACATCTTTTAATTTTGTAATGGTTTCAGTTTGGTCTTCAATGATTTTGCACTTTATTCTTAATGCATCAATATCCCTTTCATTTCCCTTTCTTAGAGATTCATTCTCTCTAGTTAAACTTTCAATTTGAGCCTCTAATTTTCCACGATTCTGGGCTAGAGTGGATCCTTAAAAACAAACATCATCAGTTAGAAATGGTAACATGCCTTGGAAGCTTTTTATTTTATGAAAATCTTATTTAACAATGTAGAATATATAGTAAATATAAAGAAAAATTAAACAAAAACACAAAGCATACAATAATATAACATGAAGGGGAAAGGGGAAGTGAACAAAAAGCTTTCTAAACACTTACGCTATTTACAAACCTAAAATCATGAATAAAATCGAGGACAAGTAACTCAGACGTGTACTACTTCATTCATGTCCTTGCATTGAAACAAGCCTAGTAATACTAAAAATTCCTAAAGGGAGTAGATAAATGGCCAATGGCTCCATTAAGACCAATATCTAACTGTTCATAATTTTAAAGGTATCTATAAATACCATAAAACAGCATGTTATCTCTTGTCTTATAGTAACAGGAAAAGGAATGAGATTGAGGATTTACCTAAACCTAAAGTGGTCTTCAATCATACACTATTTTATATTTCCGCATGCCAATAGTATGATTGTTACAAACATCTGAATAAAAAAATTGCATACTATACAAATAATTTAAAATCATCATACAATAATGAAAATTATTTATTTTTTTTAGTTATAGGTAGACACAACACCTTTATTTTTTTGTGGTGCTGAGGATTGAACCCAGGGCCTCATGCATGCTAGACGAGCGCTCTACCTCTGAGCCACAACCCCAGCCTACAGTAATTATTTTTAAAAGCACACGTGGTTCAGAAAAATGACCAAATCATATTGGAAGAAAACAATAAAAAATATCAGAGCTAAAAGCATTTTGAAGTTTTCACCATGATAAATGATAAATACTTCAGGACAGATATTTTATTCTGATTTAAAAATTACAAAATTTACACAAGCATAAAAACATTATATGTTCACGATAAAATGCCACCCTTTTTCCTGGTATCTCAAGGTCGTTACAGCCTTTTCTCTCCAATACCCAGATATTGACTATTTTCCCTCTGAAAATTTGAGAATTTTACCCTGTTGTGCCAGCTCATGTCCCCATACTTTTCTTTCTGTCCTTAAACCATAAATAAGTGATTCCTTGGCTGCTAGCTCAGATATAAGCTGGACTTTTTCGTGCTTGAGTTGTTCTATTTGAATACTCTTCTGCTTGTCATCTTCAATCAAAATTTCAAGAGTGTTGATTTGATTCTGTTTAACCCCAAATTTAAAAAAAAAGTGATTATTTTAAGTGCTTTTTTTTTTTTTTTTTGCATTTTACAAAGAGAAAAAACATTATTTAAGCAAATACAACCAAATGTTGCCAAATTATATATAAGAAGTTTGTTTTATTAGCGAAAGATAAATATCAACCATGAAATAAAAAGTCAAACTTTAAGAGACTGCTTCTTTTAATACTGTGAATTTAATTCTAAAATTATGGAGAAACTATACTTGTAATATTCAAAATATTCAAAAATTTCTTATGATGCATTTTAATCAATATTCTAAAAGTTATTTCCCCCAAACTGAGTTATCTTGGAACAGTTATGGTTAAGTATATTTAAAAAGTACCACCACCACTACCATTACCATATTAGTATCAGAAATGCAAGTGGTATTTCCCAAACTTCAACTATTTGAACATTACCATTCTAATTTTTGTTGTATCACCTGTACAAATGAGGACCTATTAAGCATGTTTCTTAAAATTAATTCACTTATTTTACATATATATTTTAAGCTAAGCAATACAGTATATGAAATCATAAGTCTAATCTCCTTAGTCATACTTTTTTTTCATACACATCACAATATATAATTGCTATCATTTAAAAGTTCATTTTAAGGCTAGGTGCAATGGCGCATGCCTAAAATCCCAGTGATTTGGAAGGCTGAGAAAGGAGGATTGCAAGTTCAAAGTCAGCCTCAGCAACTCAGCAAGACCTCGTCTCAAAATAAAAAATATAAAGGGCTAAGGATGTGGGCTCAGTGGTTAAGGATACCTAGTACCAAAAAAAAGAAAGAAAGAAAGGTTCATTCTGTGTACTTTCTAAAATCATAACACGGTTGAAAAAAATGATATAAAAAAATTGAAGGGAACTATAATGTTATGAAGTCTTACCTGTAAATTTGCTGCTGTTTCCTGTTTTAATTTGGAAACTTCTGCGAGTTTTGTTTTTTGTTCCTTCACCATACAGGTCAGATCTTTAATTAAAGAGGAAGACTCATTTTCTTTCCGTTGAGCCCAAATAAGAGCATGTTTGCTCTTGGCTAACTCAGTTGCAACATTTTCAAAACCATCTTTAACCTATATTTCAAAATTGCATTTTATATAAATGGCAGTTCTCCAAATAATTAAAAAAATATTTGCTTCTGTAAACAGCTTCCATGTTTCATTTTTAGAATCAGAGTTTTAGAAAAAGAATAAAATTCAAAGATAATTTGTTTCAATTTACTAATTGCCACATGATAAAACTAAGACCCAAGGAATTAGTGGATTTACAACCAGAATTCATTAATTTGAGAACTATTTACTGAGGGCCAGCCTGTTGTGTGCCAGTCATTGTTCTAGGCACTGGAACATATCAATGAATACAATGGACTAACATCCCTGCCTCTGTAAAGGTTACATTCTAATGGGTAGGGACTAACAGTATAATAATAAGCTTGTTCAATGATATGTGCTTGGGTGAAAGCTAAAGGGATGTGAAATGTTGGAGAGGCAGGTTCAATTTTAAATGGCATAATCATTGAGAGGGTAATACTGCATCAATGACTTGGAAGGAGGTAAACAAGAGAACTATGCAAATATGTGTAGAAGGTGTTCTATGCAGAAATGTGCCTGCAATGCTGGAGGAACAGCATGAAGGCTGATGTCACTGGAGTGGCATGGATGAAGGGAAAGATGGTTAGGATATGAAATCAGAGAGTTAAATTATAAAGAAGTATGAACTACTATGAATGAACTGGAGGTACAATAGAGGTCTTTGAGAAGAGGAATCATGATCTAACTTACATTTTAATAGAACATTGCAGCTGCTGTGATCAGCGTAAACAGAAAGGAGGGATATGGATAGAAGCAGAAAGATCAATTAAAAGGCCTTTAAAATGATACAGGTGAAAGATATGTGACTCACACTAGGTTGGCATTAACAGGTGGTAAGAAAAGACTATATGTATTTTCAACATAATGGTGACAGAATTTCTTAGTGGTGATGGGATATGGAGTGTCAAAGAGGAGTCAATCAATGATTCTAATTTCTGACCTAAGCCCTTAGAAGGATGGAGATGTTATTAAGATAGAATAAGTGTTGAAGAAGGTTTGAGAAAAAGTCAGTAGAGATTTTAAATAGGTGGTTACACCTATGAGTTTGAAATGCAGGCCAAAGATCTAGTTTGGAGATACAAGAAATGATGCTGGAGGAGTTTACCAAGAGTCTGAGTGTGTCTAGAAAAGCAGGGTTAAGGATTGAAACTTGGGCATTTCTAATGAAATTTTGGAAACAATAGATAAATTAACAAAAGAGATTGAAAAGAGGAGAAATAACAGAAAGCCAAGAAACCCAAGAGATGTGGTGTGCTGGTAACCAAATGAAGAAAGAATCTGGAGAAGGGGGGAGAGATCAACTCTGCCAATATTGCTCTTAGGTCAAATCAAATGAGGACTAAATAGATGAATTTCAGTGTGGATGTTGCTAATGGCTTTGACTACAGCAATGCCAGTACAGCAGTAGGACTAAAACCCTTACAAAAGTAGGTGAGAAGGGAGAGAAGCAGAAAAATTGGCGTGAGCAAAAACACATATTTAAGAAGTTCTGTTATAAATCTAAGTACAGAAACACAGTGATAGCCAAATGGGATCAAGAGAGTTTTCTTAAAGAAAAATCATAGAATGTGTATGTGCTGAAGGGAATAGTCTAACAGAGAAGGAAAAACTGCTGATGTGTGTGTGAGAGAGAGAGAGAAGGAAGATGTGCTGAAGCCATACTCTTCAGCAGGCAAGAGGAAATAGGATTTAGCATATAATTGGTGGGATTACCTTAGGAATGAGATTGTTCCTCTATAGCAGGGGTTGCCAAATTTTTCTGTAAAGGGCCAGATAGTGGCCACAGATAATATTAAACCAAATGAGCATGGCTCCTTTCCAATAAAACTTTATTAAGAAGAAGAAAAAAAGAGGCAGTGGACCATATTCTGCTCGAGGGCTTTAGTTTTGTCAACCCCTGCTCTACAGTGGTAGAGGAAAATTCAGATTTTCCCATTCCTATTCCCAATCCCCTGCTATCTTTACTTCACTATTTATTATCTTAATAAGTTTTTCTAGTCTCATTAAGTGTAGCTATTATTTATGTGAGAAGGTTCTAAGAATTTATGTAATTTATTTAAGAGCCTAAAGCCAGCATGCACATAGAGCCAGGATTCTAAAATGTAGTCTTCTTATCAAACAATATTTTGTTGATTGTGTTTTCAATAAAGAGCTAGATACCAATTGTTACCTCTTTAAATCTTCTGGCTTCAACAGTTAAAGCAATACGGAATTCATTTTCTAAATCCAAATATTGCTGGTTTAATATACCAACTTTATCATGGTATTCTTTAATTTCTTGTTCATGTTTTCTCTCTTCTTTGGCTATTTCTTTAGCTAAGGCATCCTGGAACTCAGCATCACTGAAAAACTCCCTTGTTTCAAGTTCTTTCCTGGAATGAAAAACAAATACAAATCAAAGAATGCTGTTCCCTTAAAAAGAAATATTGTAAAGGTCCTTAAATAGGTCTTAATGTTCTATATTATGTAATGTTAAGATCAGATCCTCACTTTCAAAAACAGAAATTGGGTACAGATAGGTACAGAAAAAATACATAAAGCTTATAAGTATATTCAGTGAAGGGGATAACAGGAGTATGTCATATCTTTTTAAAATATTTTTTTAGCTGTAGATGGACACAATATCTTTATTTATTTATTTTTATGCAGTGCTGAGGATCGAACTCAGTGCCTCATGCATGCAAAGCAAGCTCTCTACCACTGAGCTACAACCCCAACCCGAGTATGTCAAATCTTAACTTCATTGAAATAGTTCCTTCATTCTATGGCTTCTGAAATTCTTTAGGTGTATTCGCATCTGTACTATATCTTCTACTTTGGTTTTTCCTTTTTTAACTTGTTATTTTCAGTTATATATGACAGTAAAATGTATTTTGGCAAATTACACATACACAGAGTATAATTTATACTATTTAGGATCCTATTCTTGTGGCTGTACATGATGTGGAGTTACCCTGGTTGTCTATTCAAATACAAGGCTAGGAAAGTTATGTCCGATTAATTCTTTCCTTCCATATTCCCCTCCCCACTCCCTTCCCTTCATCTAATCCAATGGATTTCTATTTTTCCCTTCCCCACCCTACTCTTTTTTGGGTTAGCATCCACATACCAGAGAGAAAATTCAGCATTTGGATTTTAAATGCAGTTTGATTTGTACTAGATTAAAATAAAATGTCAGTTAAAGTTTCAAAATATTTACAAATCTTTTGATTTGCGTTATTATTTTTTGGTACCGGGTATTGAACGCAAGGGAACTTGGCCCCTGAGCCACAACCCCAGCCCTATTTTGTATTTTATTTAGAGACAGGGTCTCATTGAGCTGGTTAGGGCCTTGCTAAGTTGCTTAGGCTGGCTTTGAACTTGTGATCCTCCTGTCTCAGCCTCCCGAGCTGCTGGGATTACCTGTATGCACACCGTGCAGGGTGAGCAAGGGTCTCATTATATTGCACAGGCTGGTCTTGAATTCTTGGGCTCAAGTGATCGTCCCAAGTGCTGAGACTATAGGCATGCACCACTGTGCCTGGCTCTAGCGCTATATTTTAAAATATAAGTTCATTCTGTAGAATTCTCAACTATTTTCTGCATAAATCAAACCTTAACACAAAATCCACTGTTTTCAATTTTGGCTTTTAAAGACAAGAATGGAAAATTTAAAAACATCTGTAAAGAAAACTATAGAATTCTAGCTTTTTGTGATGTCTCCCCCATTTTTTTTAACTGTCTCTCCCATACTCATGATGACAATTTTCCCTAGAGTATCAAAGTTTACTTAAAGCATTAAAAGTTTATAAGTACAAAAGTAAAACGGGTTCTTGATTTGATTCCATTCAAATAAATCAACAAATCGGATGGAATCAAACTAAAAAGATTCTTCACAGCAAAAGAAAGAAGAGAGAGTCTATAGAATGGGAGAAAATCTTTACCATATGCGCCTCAAATAGAGCATTAATCTTCAGGATACATAAAGAACTCAAAAAAACAAATAACTGGGCTAAGGATCTGAACAGTCACTTCACAGAAGAAATACAATTGATCAACAAATAAATGCAAATCAAAACTACTCTAAGATTTCATCTCACTCTAGTCAGAAAGGTAATTATCAAGAATACAAGTAATAATAAATGTTGGTGAGGTTGTGGGGGAAAAGGTACATCATACATTGCTGGTGGGACTGCAAATTGATGCAACCGTTACGGAAAGTAGTATGGAGATTCCTCAGAAAACTTGGAATGAAACCACTGTTTGACCCACCTGTCCCACTCCTCAGTTTATACCCAAAAGGACTTAAAAACAGCATACTACTGTGATGCAGCAGTATGTTTATAGCAACTCAACTCACAATACCTAAACTATGGAACCAACTTAGGTGCCCTTCAACAGATGAATGGATAAAGAAATTGTGGTATATATGTACAAGGGAATATTACTCAGCCTTAAAGAAGAATGAAATTATGGCATTTGCCAGTAAATGGATGGAACTGGAGAATATCATGCTAAGTGAAATAAGCTAGTCCCAAAGAACCAAAAGCCAAATGTTTTCTCTGATATGCGGATGCTAATTCACAATAAGCGGGGAGAGGTAGGGAAGAATAGAGGTACTCTGGATTAGAGGGGAGTGAAGGGAATGGGAAGGATGATGGAATGAACCAGACGTTATTACCCTATGTGCATATGGTTACACAACCGGTATAAATCTAAAGCATATACAACCAGAATGAGAGGTTATACTCCATTTATTTATGAAGTGTCAAAATGCATCCTACTGTCATGTATAACTAATTAAAACCGTGCCCCCTGACCCCCGAAAAAAACCCACCAACAACAAATAGGTTTAGAAATGACAAAATTCAACTAGTAGGACACTCAAGTAAGGACTAGAGGGAAATGTTCAAATTATTATGTGTTCTATATAGCAAGGATTGGGAAGCTACACCCCATGGACCAAATCTGGTCTGCTGCCCCTTTGTAAATAAACTCTTATTAGACCACAGCTACATTCATTTGTTTTATTATTGTCAATGGCTATTATGCAAAAAAGACAAAGTCAAGAATGTGAGGCAAAGTCTGTGGGGAGCCACTCTGAATGATTCTCGCCTTCCATCCTAGAGCGGACAGGCTTTCACCAGTCACTACATCTTGTAGTGACCTGGACACTGCCTCAGCCCAGAAAGTTTGAGGGTGTGTCTTCAGATGTAGGCGTGTCACCCATGGAGTTTAACTATACTCACCTGTTCCTTTGTAATACTACCCCTTTGCCTTGTTGGGATAGAATGCCCCATGGCAACTCCATTTGTGTGTCCCTTTCTCTTACTCTGCCTTTGGGTGTGGCCTTCCTAGATGTCAGTCAACCGGCTGACAGCAGACATCATGAAGCTAAACTCAACCCCCTGAAACCTGACCCCTTGCCTCATCTGAATGGCTTCCCCTCAATAAAAGGGTTCAGCATGTGCTCCCTCACTCTCTCTCTTTCCACGAACCCCTAAGGTCGAAGGAGCCGTCTCAGGACCCAAAGAAAAGGTATTTGTTTCTGTGTGGTTATTTCATGCAGCCCAGTTCCCCTGGAGTGACCCTGAGTGTTTCAGTCAAGAGGAACGTGACAATTGGCACCCAACAGGGACTTGTGGGGAGCCACTAGAGTCTGAATTATTTTCTCCTTATTTTGGTACCAGGGATTGAACCAAGGGACACTTAACCACTGAGCCACATCCCCAGACCTTTTTACTTATTTTGTTTTTGAGTCAAGGCCTTGGTAAGTTGCTGAGGCTGGCTTTGAACTTACAGTCCTACTGACTCAGCCTCCCTAGCTGCTGGGATTAGAGGCATACATATATCGAATTATTTTCTATGTGGCCCTTCACAGAAAAAGTTCACAGACCCTTGTGTCAGAGAAATAAATACTGATTAATTTAACAAGAAATTACTTGGAAGTCAATTAAATAGCTTTCTTTATATATGTGAACATTTGTTTAGTTTGGAGAAATATAAAACAAGCTTTACTGTTACAAAGCCTTTCCTCAAATGCAGACTGTAAAATCACCAATTTGTATTTTAGATACCAGTTCTTGCTAGAGGATTTTTTTTTTTTTTTTTTTTTGGTGGAGAGACATGGGGCGCCGGGGAGGGGGTGGAGGGTGTTGACTCTCAGTCCCAACCTTGCATGGAGGCACATACCTGGGAAGGCGGCCCACCCCTATGCCCTGGGATGGGGGCTCCTCTGCCTGGGCTGAGGGGCTGCCGCCTGTTTTCAGCCTTCAGGGCCTGAGCTGGGCACCCAACCTGAGTCTACAGCAGATCAGAGGACTGGATAGAGGGGGCGGGAGCGAGGCCAACTCAGAGCTGCAGAGTGGGGGCCAGGGAGGCTGGCCAGGCAGGGCAGCTGGGCTGCAGCCCATGGAGACTGGAGAGGAGACGGTGGCCAAGAACATGTGGGGACAGGGAGGCAGCAGTGGGGGCAAAAAGACATGGAAAGATGGGGATAGAGTACAGCAGTATTATGCTCCTGAGAGGCTAACTGCTATTTCTCTTACAGTGAATAGATGTAGTAATTACAAATTTGAAGACTTTATTTTCATATTTATTTTGCGTGTATACAATATATGGATAATATATGTGCATGTATATAACATATTTATTTATGCATTTGTATATGCATGCCTTTGCATACATATATATACATCTAAGTGTGTACACATATTTGCTTACATATATATATATATATATATATATATACACACACACACACACACACACACACACATAAATAATTACATGGGAATGTTACAATTTTTGAATGAAAATAAAAGTATCAGTTACTTGGGCTTATTTTTTATTGCCTTAGGGTCAGACCATCTTCAGTAAAAAATTGTCAGAATATGTTGGATGAGTAGGCCCCCATTGTACCTTATAATATAAAAAAAAAATGTTGGCAAATGTGTGTAGCTCATTTGTTCATACAGCTAAGTAACTATTTTACCCATAAATTATTATTATTATTTTCTCTGAATGCATTTAGGACTGACTAGAAAATATATCAAAATGAATTAACTCACCTTGTTATCTCTTCTGGGTAGATACTGCAATAAGGCATCATAGACTGGATTGCTATGGATATTTAAGGATGTATAAACAGTTTTCTGAAGGATGCACAAAGTATCCTTTATTGGGCATGCTGGTATCAAAGTATTTCACAATTTAGAGTATTTTCAGACTTTACTAGTTTAGAATTCCTAATCTAAAAATATGAAATCCAAAATGATCTAAATCCCTTTTGGATTTTAGAATTTTGCATTAAGAACACTCATCCTATATAACACAGCACTTACATTTTTAATTTTACAAATGCATATTTCTTTGTGTTTTAAGTCTGATTCTGCAACCTGTATACTCAGAAAAATGAGAAATTATACCCCATCTGATTCAAATGTATGATATGTCAAGATCATTGTATTGTCATGTGTAACTAATTAAAACAAATAAATAAAATAAAAAAAGGTAATGCTTAAAAAGAATTAGCACTTCCAAGCACTATGATTTTATCATAAATGAGGGAGTGGAAAGAGGAGTGGGGTAAAAGAAGTCCATAAAAACTGAAAGAGACAATGGGCTCTAAAACAATCTGTCAGAACACAGATACTTGCTTCTGTGGCAGCAGCAGGTTTAAGTCAAGGGAATCAGGCATATGAATGATTCACTGTTGCATAAGATCCTGTCATTTGCATTTTACTTTTGCTCATTATTTTTATTAGGCAAAGGCACTGAAAATCATGTGATTTATGCAAAGAAATTTTTGAGGGAAAATTACAAAATCTGCACATAATATTTTAGAGACCAGTAAATGACAAAGACAAAAAATATGTAAATATAACAAATTTTAATTTTGGCATATTTTGGAATTAAAATTTTAGAAATAATAAAAAAGTGAATATAAGAACTGAAACATAGAATTGGATTACTTTAACGACTGACTTCCTTTAAATTAACATTATATGAAATGTGCTTTAAAAGTGATCACATTTCATATCAATTATCAGCTCACTTTTCCTCCAAATTAATTACTCTTCATTATACTTCCATAAGTTGTTCTTTATGCTATGGGTAGGATAAGCCAGTAAATACTTCTTATTGGGCATCTTTCTGTGCCAATTGGATATGTCCATCTCTAGAATCATCATGATTTCAAAGCTAGGCTTCCTCTAGGAAGAGCCTATATAAAAATTACTGCCTCTATAAAATTGCACTACTGTGAAAGTAATGATAGGTAGAATAAAGGAAAAGATGGCTAGAAAATGAGATGTGCAGACATTGAATACAGAAGTAAAAATTGAGTGGCCAAGAGACAGTCAAATAGATGGATATGATATAATATGGTATTCTAAGATTAAAAATAGAATCAAATGAATTAGGGGAAAATATGCATCCTTCACCAGTCTACAACTTCCTTATCTATAAAATGATCCATAGTGTTGTTTTTCTTTAATAGTACGTAGTTGTTATGCATTTGAAAATATATTCTCAATTATCTCATTTAATCTACATATCCATTTAAGTGACATTCCTTATCTTTTAACTTCTATTTAAATATTTGTTTCATACAAACTACTCCTGCACTTTTTCTTTCTTGGATTCCAAAACATAGATGTGTGCCAATACTTTTGATGGCAAGGGCTGGTCTGAATTGCAAGCATCTTACTAATATGGGATATAGTATATATGTGTGTGTGTGTATGTGTGTGTGTGTGTGTGTGTATACACCATATTTATACCCATACATATTACTCATAACATAACTTTAAATACAGAGAATGCCACCTCTGTGGCCATCAGGCCTGATCCTAAAAAGTCTAGTAAATAATATATTACCATACATTGCCAAATATGCACAGTTTTACAGAGGGTAACAAAACTCATCTATGTATGCTTCAGTTTTTGTCTATGTAGTCTTGATATAAACTTATTTATACTAGAGAACCTGGTGTCTTTCTAGAGGACTGATTTTAATGGATACATAAACATGGTATTTTCCATGAGCTGATATTGCCAGATTAACCAATGATCTATCACTGCCTCTAAATACGGAGGGTCGGGGGGGGGTGTGGGGGTAGCTTTCTTTTTTTATTTTTAAGTGTCAATATTTTTCTGATACATTTTTCATTTACCTGTGTTCTTGTTCTTTCAATGCCAGAAGTTCATGAAGTTGTTGGACTTGTTCCTTTTCTTGATGAAGGGAAGTTCGAAGTAAGTTTATTTCTCTATCAGCAGCTGCAGCCTTGATTTCCACCTCTTGGAGAAGCCTTATCTGAGAAAAGTGCACACAATTACAGTACCTAGGTAACAATCTCCCATGCTTCTATTTTAATGCCAATTCCCATAAGAAAAGTGCCTTTTAAATGATTAGACCTAGTGACTAAGTTTATTTTCAAAGTTTATTAATTAACAAGTCACACAAAGTATATTCTTACAATCATCAAATATATTGGCATTAACTACTGCTTATTTGCATCACAAATTTTGATGGGAATTTTTTTCAGAAACCATGAAAATGAAATTCCTTCAAGTCCCCCACCCCCCAACTTTTAAATATTAGTTCTTCAAAATACAAGCCTAATTAATTACCTGCAGTATTTCCTTTTCTTGTAATTGCTTTGTATAAGTTAGCCTTAATTTAGACATAATTCAAAAGTCTACATGATTACTATATTTAAATTGATAATTCATTTTTTTGGGCAAACTACCTAATATCTTTTAGGTTTACCATATAGTATAATTTATTACAGATTAGAAGTTATGAATTGATCCACATCACTGATACATTAAAAAAGAGAAATACCTGTGCCGCCTGCTGCTGCCCTTTTTGTCTCTCCATTTTTTCTAATGCTTTTTCCAGGGTTCTTAAGTGTCTAATGTGATCCTCCTGTTGATCTCTTGTTTTTATTAATTCAATAGTTAGTTTTTTAATTTCATTTTGAAGTTTGTGAACCATAATTTCGAGTTGTGCTTTGGCATTTCTCTCTCTAAAAATAATATCCTTTAGCCTAAGCAGAAATTATGAGCAGCAGTTAATTACATTATACATAGAAAATGAGAAAAACTGTAGTCAATATTAAAGACTACAGTAGAAAGACTTGAAGTATGTTTCGAAATGTAATTACAGTTTAAAAAAAAAAATGGCTGAAATACAGTATATGCCTTTCCCCTATCCCTAACACTAATACTGTGCCCAAAGAGAAAATGCTCTATATAAATTAGTGAAACTTTATCTTAAATAAACTTTCCTACTACACAGCAAAACTTTACTGAATACCTAATGTGTTTCATGCATTCAGGCTAGCTGTGGACTTTTTAAAAAGCATGCAAGAAGAGTTATATAGTCTGTGCCTTTGAAGGAACTCAGTATCTCACAGAAAAAAAAGATATATTTATAAAGCTGTGTGGCATCAAGTGATATATGAATAGCTACCTGAAAATTAACTTTGACTTTTCTGTATCCTCCCCAGATACCACATATTGATCCTTGCTTTGTATCAGTTAGAACCCATTGGTTATAGTTAAGAACTCTTAACTAATAAAATAAAATGGAAGAATTTATTGACCCACATAGCTAAACTCAGAGAAAGAGTAGCACAGAACTATTCTCAGGGACCACTGAAACCAAGAACATGAATTCCATTGGAATTCTTTATATGTGATTTCCTAGAGGCTATCTTCAGTTGTTCCAACTGTTAGGTGTCTTTATGTTTGGGGGAAGCGGGCAGGGGGTATGGAGGGAAGTTCTACAAACATTCCTGGGCTCCCATTCCAATATATCTGAGAACCAAATGGAAAGATTATCTTCTTCTAGCTCAACTCCAAAGAGTCACAGGGAAGATTCTGATTACTTCAATGTAGTTCATACGTGCACCCAGGAATATCACTGTGGCCATGGGCCACATTATGGTTAACCAGCCTGGGCCAGATACATACCCCCGCCTCAACCCTTATCCATATTCTATGGGAAGATATTTCATGATGGAATAAAAGTCTAATATTTGGAAAAGACAGCTTCATGAAATTACCGAGCTAGGCTGCTGCCCCACTATCTATTGTGATTCTAGGCCGTATTTAAAGAAATATATCCATCAATTTCTTTACTAGAGTCATTTCTCCAATTTTTGTTCTTATCTCTCTTCATTTATTTCAAAAGAGTAGAGTAGTCTCCAAACTGGTCTTCCTTGTTTACTCTCTCAACTCCAGTTTGATGTTATATGAGAGAATGCCAGAATTTATTATTCTGTGGACTACAGGATGGGGCCATAGAAGCTATAGACAAGGAGATCTGAAGCAATTATCTAAGTGAGAGATAAAACATAAATTAAGGCAACAGTTTTAGGATATAGAGGAGAAAGTTCAGTATGTTTTAAGAAATGAAGAACATATCAACACCAACTAGATATGGGATATGAGAAAGAGAAAGGAAATAAAACAATTATTCCTAGATTTCTACTTTTGGTGGCTGTCCAGATACGGATGGAAAACCATTTATTAGGGCTAAGAATACAAACTAAGGAAGCAGGATGAGTCTGCCTGAGGATAGGCTAATCTTAAGAAATACAGGCAAGGCAATTTTAGAAGGCATTTAGATAAGCAAATTTGTTCACCAAGGAGATCTGAACAATAAAAATATCCTACTAGATAAGATTCTCTCTCTCTCTCTTTCTTTTTTGGTGGTGCTAGGGACTGAACCTAGGGGTGTTCTACAAGTGAGCTACATCTCCAGCCTTTAAAACTTCTTTATTATTATTATTATTATTCAGATAGTCTTGCTAAGTTGCTGTGGCTGGCCTGGAACTTGGAATCCTCCTGCCTAAGCCTCTTGAGCAACTGGGATTACAGGGCAAGCTACCACTATATCCAACAAGATTCATTTTTTAAGATAACAAATACTCCACAGTATTGCACTTAGATGCCAGACTCTGTATTAGGTCCTAGGGATACAGAATCTCTAACAAAGCACATATGGGAATATCAAGATTGGTCAGAGATCTAACTTCAAAAGGACAGACAGACAAACAAACATGAGTTTAGATAAAACTGGAATCAGAAAAAAATTGATTTTTTCAAGAACAATGAATATATAATATGGGAATGATGGTCAAAATCGACAGGTTATGTAAGAATAAAGATGAAATATACCCAAATCCTTCCAAATTAAATGCAATCTGGTAAGAAGCCTCAACCCAGCTTCCTCTAATATTCCACTAAGTAATACCCACAATATGAAATGAAATAGAAATTCCTTCATATATAGCTAAAAGCAAAGATAGCCTATTATCAAAATCTGTAATGAATTTCAATTATAAGCCAAAAAGAATTAAACTGAAATAAAAACATCTCCTAGAACAAGCTTTGCTTCATTTTGAAGAAAGATGAATCCTCTTTTCCACTGTCATGTCCATGACTCAGTTACAGAGTCTTTAATAAAGTTGTTGCTGATAATGTTGGTTATTCACATACCTACTTCAAGCAAGAGTGCTGTTTTTCTAATGTAGTAAAAAAAAAAAAAAGTAGTAGTGGTGGGGAGGTGGAAGGACTAGTAATAGCATAATGTATCACAGCTTGCTTAATTATAGAGTTTCTCATAATGTACACATCAGGTTTTATAATTTTTCTTATACACAACACAGAAGTGGGCATGAGGGTAGAAATTACCACATAGTATCATAAAACTCTAACAGTTACATATTTAACAGAAACTGGAAATTGGGCTTGGAGTTGTGTACATCAACTTATTATTCAAATGAGAGCTTATACTTTACAGTAAGGAAATGCAACCAAGAGCAACTTCTAAACCCAATTTGTGGCATAACCGAGTCTAGAAAACTAGCATTCCTTCAAGGGTAAGAAGACATAAAAACCAACAGGAAGTCTGTAGAAGTATCTTATAACTATTTGAAGAAAGGTATAACTTTAGAAATAATTACAGAAAACCAGGGGAAAACTGTATTTAGAAAACTGGTATTTTCATAGATTGCATAGAATAAGACTGACTTGTATTAAATGTAATCATAAGAAAAAATGCATCATAATATGGCAATATGTAAATCAATGGATGTGTAACTGATGTGATTCTGCAATCTGTATACGGGGTAAAAATGGGAGTTCATAACCTACTTGAATCAAAGTGTGAAATATGATATATCAAGAACTATGTAATGTTTTGAACAACCAACAATAAAAATTAAAAAAAAAATGCATCATAAGATAAAATGGGAGCTAGAAGGAAGGAGGAGAAAAAATAAAAACGGAATAAAAAAACTTGGGCTATCAGGTACCAAGGCCAACTGCAGAAGACAAACATGTGACAATAGTTCAAAGAGTACCGAGGAAACAGATTAAAATTCATAAACCCTGTCTTTACACAATCTGGGATTTTTACAGAAAAATTTTGCCAATTCCTGCTCTAGTCTCTTGTTGTTTACTTATAATACATATCTACACATATATCTGACACTTCCCAGCCAGTTTAAGGGCTCAAATAAATGTACCTGGAATTCCTAAATTACGTAACAAGTTAACAAAGCATTAAATCTTCTAATCAAAAGAAAACTAGATACCTTGTTTAAAAAAACATTTGTTTTTAATCATATTGTAGTTAACTTAAATTTAGGTATTCCAGCTCCAAGTTTAATATTCTTTATGCTAAAGGTGTCCTTTAGGTTTTTATATTTGGCCTTACCTGTCTGTGGTAAGTAGAGCCAAGCTATGAACATCTTTCTTTTCACTAGCTTGTTTATGCAGTTCATCAATATACTCCATAAGCTTCTTTTCAGCTTGTTCAGCTTTCCATCTCATCTCTCTCTCTTGGTCTAGCTGTTCAACAAGGGACTAAAAGGAACAACCACATTAGGAGAACTTAGAAATGTAACCTAACTTCTTACCATCTCAATTTTTCATTTTACTTCACTTTGAAGGGCTATTAAACAAATTAATAGAAGTAAAGCATACCAAACAGTGCAGAACTGTGTTTGGCACATAATATCATTCAAAAAATAAATTGTAGCTGCTATTATTATTGTCATAACATAATTATATTTTTTCCTCAGTATTAAAGTTTCCAGTGTTGAGAATTAGGAGAGAAAAGCAGTAGCATAAAAAGTATGAAGGTAAATATATCATGGAAAAACAGTACTACGTACAACCAAAAGAACAACCAGTACTTCAACAAGTACAATACTGGCAAGTTAATGAAAAATATAAAGTAACAAATCAACATGTGCTAAAAATTCTCAACACGAGTACTGTTCAAGCAAACATTGAATAATTTTGAAAATTTTTGAAATCTCTTAATCTGTGCACAAAATTGGGTTTCAGGTTAGTTCATGAAAACCTGGAAATCATATAATAACATTTTGGGTGTAAAAGTTGTTTTTTTAAGAAGAGCTACAGATTTCTTTATTTAAAGGGTCTGACATTTAAAAAATCTAGGAACCACTACTTTAAGAAATAAGAATTGGAAAATTTAGAATGGTTTCTACCTCTATAAGTATATAATAAATGATTTCACTTAAATCTGACTTAAATAAATGTGTAATTTCTGGGGGCTGGGGTTGTGGCTCAGTGGTAAAGCATTTGCTTTCATTTTTTCTTAACTCCTAAATCGTACCCGGTACGTGTTGTCTTCTACGATGTTATTTTCTACTTTAATGATTTCATTCTTCTGTTCTTCTAATTCTTGTAAAAAATTACAGTTTGCTAAAGATGATCTTACGTATAAATCTTTAAAGTAAGGTTGTTTTATTTTACGATTACAACTGTAAAAAATAAAATGCAGGAAATAATTCCAAGAAAAGTATACTGTTTATAATATTCTCTAATATTAACATTTTTAGTCACATATGCAAACAGTTTTTATAAAAGGATATTAAATAATATAATAGTCACTTACACTACTTCCTAAATTTTATGAGTGTGCTTTGTTGACTGAGAGCCTCAATATAATAAGAAAGACAGTTCAGTGTTCAACACATTCAGGATAGGTAGAATTCTTGAATACATCAGAAGAATTTAAAAAAGTATTATTAGTACTTAGGACTAAGGTAACACCCAAGAACTGGAAAAATGACAGATAAAATTATCTTTTGAAAATTGAAAGTCTAAAGTGGACATGTAACAAAGCAGAGCAAATAGATTATACCATTAGCAAGAGATTGAAGAAATTGCAGGGTATGTCCATTCTGATTATAAGTGAACTAAGTGACTGAGCATACATGGAAACACATAGTTAACTGGACAGCTATGAAAGAATTAAAACAACAAAAAAATTCATTTTTTTATAAAGGAGAATTAAAGAGGTAAAAAGTTGATTTTACCTATGCCAGAGTAGGCATTTCTGAACAACTCATGGTGATTCCAATTGTGAAAGTACAAACATCAGATTCCCTGATCCTAATGGCATTCAACATAACCATCATATTTACCTTTCATCCTCAACTCAGTAGTTACCATCTATTTAGGACTTGACTTCCCATCTAGACTTGCTTATAGAGACAGAAAAGGCTAGTCATCTACAACTCAAGTTTTATTGGTTTTATTTCCTACTGCAAATGAATGCAGTAGAATTTTGGTTTTATATGTTGATTTCTTAACTTTGGCATTGACAGAGAAAGCAATCCTTTACATAAGTATACAGTTGTTCATTGGTTTCTACAGGCAATTTGCTTTAGGACCCTCCTCAATACCAAAACCTACAGATGCTCAAGGCCCTTACACGGAATGGTGTGATAACAGATTACATAAAATACTTAATATATGTAAGTGCTGTGTAATAATTTGTTTAGGGAATAATAACAAGAAAAAATAGTCTATTAATGTTATATAGAATAACTGCTGAGTATTACTAATAATACACGCCATTAACAATATTAACGTTTTTTTAGAAAATATTTTTGATTAATGTTGGTTGAATCCATGGATAAAGAACCTGCAGAATGAGAGAGAGGTGACTGTACTGACCTAGTCAGAGCGCATATGACTGAAAAGTTAAACCTTTGATGATAAATGTGATAAATAAATATCAGCATAAGGTAGTTTTAAGGAAGGAGACAGCCATGCTAACTTTTAGGTGCCTTACTTGAAATTCTAAAAATAAATATGTACCTTACAAAAATGTTGTTTCTATTGTGATGCTTAATAGTTTGAATACTTCTGGCATAATATGGGATTTTTGATCTTCGAGGAATTTTTCTGTTGCATTCTTTTCTGTTTCCATAATCACTTTCAGAAGTTACATCCGTGTCTCTTTTTGGTCTCAGGTCTTTTTCAGGAACATTATCTATTAAAGTACTAGAAGCCTAGAAAGAAAAGGAAAAAAAGAAAAGTATACTAAAAGTTCAATTCAGTATAAAAATTTAAAATTTTGCTAAGTATTAAGGCTTTCTATAAGATTGAGGGCTAATAAACTAGATATCCTGGAAATTAATGACAGGGAATTCAGCTTCTAGTACAGATAAGCTTCTACCAGGTTAACTCTTCTGCAAATAACAATAAAAACTTTCAGGAAATATGAATAGAAAACAAAAACAAAGAAACCAAACTCATCCAATGCAAAGCCTTTTTAACAAATGGTGCTGGCATCACTGAATATCCATAGGGAAAAGAGTGAACTTCAACCCCTACCATATATATAGACCTAACCACCAAAGGTAAAACCATAAAACTTTTAGAGAATAACACAGAAGAATATATTTGTTACTTAGGGATACATAAAAAATTTTGAAATCACAAAAAAACAATAACCATAACATGAGATCAGATTATCAAAACGAAAACTGTTGCTTATCAAAAGGCCATTAAGAAAATTAATATGTAAAGCACAGACTGGGGAAAAAAATGTTCACAGAAGGTACACTTGACAAAATACTGTTATCCAGGAAAAATAATGAATTCCTACAACATGGTAATACATAAATAACCCAATAAAAACATGAACAAAAATTTTGAAGATACCTCACAAAAGAAAATACATAAGCACATGATCACAATAAACACATATAAGAAGTGTTCATCATTAATCATTAATGAAATGTAAATTAAAATAAAAATGAATGCCAGGAATATACCCAGTAGGATGGCTAAAATAAAATCAATGCTAACACCAAATATTGGTAAAGATGCAGAAAAACTGGAAGTCAGTCACATACTGTTGATGGGAGTACATAAAATTTTCAATTTTGGAAAAAGTTTCAGTTTCAGATATACTACATAGATACACATATACTGCTTAGAAATAAACCAGTACTATAAAGATGTAAACCATAGTCATAAAATGGAATATCACACAAAAATACTATTGCTATACAAAACATGGAATAATTTCAAAAGGCTATGTTGCCTTACATGAAAAGTACATACTGTATCATTCCATTTTTATTAGATTCTAGAAGAAATATTAAATAATCTATGATAGGAAAAAATCAGAAAAATGATTTCCTCTGAAGAAGCAGGGAAGGACTGCTTGTAGAAAGAAACAGGAGGAACATTCTAGCACGATGGTAATGTTCATCTTCAAAAAGTTTGGGTAAAAGTATATATATATATATATATATATATATATATATATATGTATTGCCAATTCAGGAATACACCTGTATTTTACATCAAATGCAAATACTTAAGCTGGGCAGGGTGGTTCACAGCTATAACCCCAGGCAGAAATATTGAAAGTTTGGGAATTTAGTAAGACCCTATCTCAAAATAAAAAAGGGATTGGGATGTAGCTCAGTAATAAACATTTAAGAAACAAACAAAAAAAAATTTACTTACAAATGTTTAGCGTTTAATAATCTTTCTAGCTTATACCACTCTTTTTATATCCTATACCCAGATGGCAGGCAAGAAAAAGTAATAATCTGTTTCATTCAGGTGGTACAGTCCCAGGGGTGGGAGGGTGGGGAATCACTGTTGATCAGTGCAAGAATGCCGCAGCAAGGGCTGGAGATACAATAGTAGTAAATTCTATGAATTGTAATTCATGCATTTAGGCAAACGCTCTACTACTGAGCTACAAACCCTAGCCCCTAATTCATAAATATAGTTCACAGAGTTTTACCAACCAGAGAATCAGTAGCAAGGGTAAAAAAAAATGATTATCAGCCCAGGAAAGTAGAAATTAATTAGGTGATGGTCTGCTGGAAACTGAAATGAAGCAGAACTATGTAAATTAATTTTATATTAAGCAGTAAATTCTAGAAATGGCTTTGGCCAATAAGAGCTGAAGAGATGTATGGGACCAGAAGTGTCCTTTGTGTTAATGAACACTGAGTTCAGAGTTTTCAGCTTGCTTAAGGTTGAAACAAAAAGTGAAGGGACAGAAATAAGGTGAAGCACTGAAGAACAAGAAAAAGGAATTATGTAATGAAGATGTGAAGAATGGCAATAAGGAAAATGCATGCTTATATTTTCTACACTACTGCTATTCAGAATCCTATTTCCATACCGGAAAACAAAAATACACATATTGATACATTTTTTTAAAAAAATACTTTTTAGTTGTTGATGGACCTTTATTTCCTTATTTTTAAATTTATTTGTATGTGGTGCTGAGAATCGAACCCAGTGCTCCATGCATACTAGGCAAGCACACCCCATGCATACTACGCAAGCACGCCCCATGCATACTAGGCAAGCACGCCACCACTGAGCCACAACCCCAGCCCCATATTGATACATTTCATATAGATTGTTTCTGGTTGGTCGGCTTGTATATATATTTTTTTCATTTTCTTAACTATTTTTTTCTTCCATATTCCCATATTGGGCTTTCCAAAAATAGGAAAAATAGTTACATCATCAAGAAGATGTAAAAGCTGATCATCTAATTTCTGGAGTTTCCTCTCATTCTGAAATTCCTTTTCATGATTAATTTTCTCTGGCTCAGAAGATGGACACACAGATAAAAACGATGTCAAAACATGTGTATCTGCTGGTGTATCTGCAAACTGCTCCAAGGGAGTTAACTCTGTGATGGGCGATGATACCACTGGCATATTATCAAGGATCTATGACACAGGGACAAACAAAAATCCTTTTAAATTTTCATTCATTTAGTAAAGTTTAAAGGTATTTTTTATATTAGGGGGGAAAAATACTATACCTCATCTTCACTTATATTTGGGGGAGACTCAGAAGAAACTAAGTTATCCAAAAGACCTTCTAAGCACTGTAGGCGTGATGAATTTACTTCTGCCATATTTACTGGTTCACCAAATATGTTCTTGCAGTCTAGAATTCTAAGCTGTGGTAAAGTTTGGAGAATAACTGCTCTGTATCCTTTGAAATAAATCATTCAAAGTGAAAATTTAAACATTAAAAAGGGCTAATATTTTATAAAATAAATTACTACATCTATCACCTGAATGATAAAATTAGTCCAAGGAACAACAAATAAACTTGTCATCAATGCTATGTATTCAACATTTCTAGCATGCAATCATTAAATACAAAAGAAAAAGAATGCTCCTTTCACTCCTCTTGAATAATTTTCCCAATAAAGGTAAGGAACTTATAATCATCACCACTTCAAATTACTTTAAAGCTATGAATGCATGAAAACAGCAGGAATTTATCCTGGGAAGAAAACTTTTGTATTTTTAATAGAACTAGCATAAATCTAAGTAACATAAACATGTTTTAAGGATGATGTGGATGATGATCAAAGCACCAGAATTTCCCCAGTGAAGTTTCAAGCATTAGTGAAACATGTCCCTTTTGTTTTTTAAATTACACATAATTAATATTAAAATGTGATTTATCAAGTATCCACGAATAATATATTTATTTATTTCCCTTAAGAAATAAATATAAGAAAAATATATTTATTTCCCTTAAAAAATAAGAAACTAACAAATTAACATTAATTTGTTGTTTAGCTTAATAGGATCCCTTCAACTTTGCTCCTATAATTTTACAACCAAGTATTTGTCAGAAAGACCAATGAATTATTTGGATAAATTCCAAAAGAAATAAAGATTCAAAGTAGGAACTCAAAAGTTCTTGAGACATGACTGTTACAAAAAACAATTTTTTGACGTTAGGGTTAAAAGAGGAAAAAAAAATACAAAGTTTTAGAAGTAAGTTTTTCCCCTAAGAAAACTCTCAAATCTGTCCTGGTTTTTAAGCAGACTTTATAATATTACATGATCTTTAAAAAATAATAAAAAAAATGTTTTTCAATAAAATAAAATAATCAGAACAGGCTATCTTGTTATAAAAAACTTTCCCATGGTAGCATATGAATGACAGAATGCAGCATTTATAGCCAACTTACACCCAAGTAGAGTTTCAGAAGATACATTCAAAATTCTATCCACTTTCTTGTTTGGTTAAGTAACATGAGATAACTGAAGTTAGAACTGGCAGTTTGGTTTCTCTTATCTTTGCCAATTTGACTGATTCCGAATTAGATCAAATAGCATTTCAGCAACATCGTTTAATGTAATAAGTTTAAGGGGTTTTTAAAAAAAAAAAAACAAAAAACAAAAAACAATCATTCACTTATTAAAATGTGATAAATCCAGGATACATAATTCAAAGGTACACAGTAAAGTTTTTTCAATATTTCCTGAACTCTAGCTACTTAGTTCCTTTTCTTGGAGTTGTCCAATATTATTTTTTTCGTGTATTTTTCTAGATGTTCTGTTGTATATATTACATACAATACTTTGCAACTTGTTTTTCTTTCTCAATATATCGTGGAGATAACTGACTACCAGTACAGAGATTCTAAGTTCCTTTTTTTCCCTTCCTAAATGGCTATATAGTATTAGGATATACCATAGTGATAAAATATAATTTTAAGGCATTCACTTATCAAATATAAAACTGTCTAAATAAAATAACTATTGATTGATTCATCCCATCTTCTTCTAACAGCAATTTGTCTTAATAAACTATTTGTAATTATATAATTCCCAAATATATAACATTACAAAGATTAAAACTAAAACAAAAAGTTCACAAACACCAAATTCTGGAAATGAAGAAACTTTTGACTATTAACTGTTAAAAAAGTATTAAATTAATTGTTCATACCTGGTACACGACAGACAGGATTCCCCTCTCCATCCTTCTCTAAAGTAAGATTTGTCAAGAAGTGCAATCCTACCATACATTGAAGTAAGTGATGGATACTATCTATACAGTTACTATGAAGATCAATATATCTAAGCTTATACTTTAGTCCACGAAGAAGCGTCAACCCTGCAATAAGAAAAAAATGCTTTTGAGTCAAAGGAGTAGCATTGATAAGATGTTGCTGTGAACAGATACATCTATAATAAACAGGAAAATTCAATTGCTGTTTTAAAGAAACACAAGTTTAGAAACTCACTGAGGCCTTAGCCCCTGGGGTTTCTGAGTACTGCGGTATTAATGGAAAAAAAAAAAAAAAAAACTCCCTAGGTCATTATATGCACTTAATGAAAATAAGCACAAAACAATGGCTTTGGAATTTCCCAAGGCAACATTTTTGATTACCAGACGTAACACTGCACTACACTTTCTTTTTCTTGGTTTCAGTATAAAATAAAAATAACATTCATTTTAGCTCCCTGATAATATTTCTTGGAAAACTTTGCAGCAGATACTATTGTTACCTTGACCACCCTGGACTTCAGCTGTAGCTAAGATGGACAAGTAAGTGTATACTGTCAGTGTGCCCTTATAAGCACTAGCATTTGCCCTCTTTTCCTACCTCAAAAGGGAAGGAGCTTGTTCAGCAAAGGTAAAGCCTGGAAGTGTGAGGGAGTTAACACTTCTAGGGGCTTACCTCTATCAAAGAGACTAGTGGATAAATGCCCCAGATTCCTTTCCTAGAAAATTGTCCTGAGGTGCATACATTGCTCCTCAAAGGGAGCAATTTTACAACTTCATTTATTTTAGCCCTCTCCACATTTCAATTTTACTCACCCTTTTCTTCTGTTTCTTCAACCTGACTGGATACCCTTTTCTCCTCATTGTCCTTTGGCTAACTTCTACTCATCATTCTCAGAAGGCTTTGACCATCTCTGTAAGATCTGATTTTCCTGTCACTCACAGTCCTTAGCATTTCTCCTTAATTATCATCACATTTTTAGGTTCTTGTTTGATGCTACTTTTGTTTTAACTTGATGGTCCTCTTAGATTTAATAGTAGAGTGCACCAGGAGCTACTCCTCTTCTCTATCTACACACTCTTTGGAATCTTCTAGTTTCATGGCTAATAGTGCTTCTAACCGCCAAATCCACAACTCCAACCATGACCCCCAATCCCACCCCATTCTTAAAATGTGTATTACATGCACACACATACATACGTTCAACAGTGTTCTCGAGTTTAAGACAGGATCAGTGTTCTCATTACTTATCTCGGAAATGTAATCCTCTTCTAATTTTTCTTATGTCAACAAATATTACCACCATTCATATCCGTTAATCCAGAGACTTTTATCTTTGATTCTGCTTTCCTTTATTTACTTTCTATCTACCTAAAAATGTACTTTCCACTCAGCAGTGATCTTTTAAAAACATAAATCATGTCATTCCCTATGTAATCTCTAACAACTCTTATTGTGCCTAAAACAAAAAGTAAATTTCTCAGCCTGCTTTTAAACTGTACTGACCTGGCCTCTGCCTACTTTCCTATCCCTTTTCTTAGCACATTAAACCCCTCATTAGCTTTCTTTCTTATATGGCAAGCTTGATTTTGCTTTAGTGTCTTTGTATGCTATATAAGTTATTTATTGAAGTGTTTTTCAACATATAAAACTTTAGCATTCTAAGAATGATCTATAAGAACATCCAGGATTGCTCCCTTTATTTTCTTCATAGTCCTCAACTCTGTCTGATATTAAGTTTCTAAAACTTGCCCCCTTTAGGTATACAATTTGGTGTGTTTTAGCAGACATACACTGTTTTACTACTACCACTATAATCACAACATAGAAAGTTTCTATCACTTTGAAAGGTTCTCTTCTGTTCCTGTGTAATCAATCTTCTCTCCCCATTTCCAGACCCTGGCAACCAAAAATCTGATTTTTAAAAGCCTCTACAGCTTTGCCTTTATCGGAATGCCACATGAACGGAATCATTTGATACAGCCTTTTATGATTGGCTTCTGTTACTTAGCATAATTCCTTTTAGATTTATATGTGATGTTGCACGTATTATTGTTTATTCCTTTTTAGTTCCAAGTAGTATTCCATTACACAGATGTTTCAAAATTTGTTTACCATTAGCTTTCTGTTGCTGTGACAAAATACCTGAGATAATCTATAATGAGGAAAGATTGATTTTGGCTCATGGTTTCACACCATAGCTGCTTGGCCATACTGCTTTGGGCCTTTGGTAGCACAATATGTTATGGTAGGAATCTGCTCTTCTCATGGCAGCTAAGAAGCAAAGAGAGAGAGAGAGGAGTGAAGGCCCCAATCTCCCCTTCAAGGGAATGCCTCCAATGACCTAACTTTCTCCAAGTAGGCCCTATTTCCTAAAGATTCTACTGACTCCCAGTAGTGCCACAGACTGGCAGCCAAAGTTTGAGCACATGGTCTTTGGGGGACATGTAAGATATAGACTATAATACCAGTTGGATATACAGGTCAATTCCAAGTTTTCAAGATTAAGAACAGTCATAAATACACAAGCATATAAAATGTTCATATAAACATTCACATATGGGTCTTTGTGTGAATACACCTTAATTTCTCTGGGTTAAATGCTGAGGAAGAGAACTGAATAATTACAAATACATTTACCATTATAATAAACTGTCAAATTCTTTCCCAAAGTGGTTATACTTTTTAAATTGTACTAGCAATATAGGCAAGTTTTAGTTGCTCTACAATCTCATCAATGCTTTAATTTTTTAAAATTTTAGCCATACTAGATGTGAAGTGGTATCTCACTATACTTTAATTGTCATTTCCTTAATCACCAAGGATACTAAACATCTTTTTTTCCCACGTGCTTATTTGCCCATTGTGCATCATCTTGGTAAGGTGTCTGTTTAAATCTTTTGCTTACTTACGGGAGGAAGGACTTGATACAACTTTATGTGTTTCTTCCCAATATAATGTAAGACCTGTTACAGCAAAGACCTTATCTGTTTACTGTTGTTGTTGTTTTTTAATAATTATAGGACAGTACTTGATAAAGCAATTTGCAACAAACATCTTCCTAGTGAATGAATGAAAACTCTTACCCGATAATCATTTGTCAGGTAAGGAAACAGTATCCAAAAAGTAAAATATCACACAGCAGCAACAGAGTTAGATTTAAACTCTAAATTCTAAAACTTTCATGTATTCAGTGAAAAAAAGATTTCAAATAAACTGCAATTGCTACCTGAGCCTAAGGGCACTAACTTGGTCTTTTTATATTTGTATACTAGGTACCAGGCATAAGGTAATGTCTTATTAGTGGGGAAGAAAAATAAGTTAACAAATGAATAATACTGTTTCAAATACTGATAAAGTTATGAAGATGATTAGTAAAATCTTATTATTTCTAAGAGATAATTCTAATAATACTCTTGAAACTTTGTTCGATTAGTTATAGCTTTAATCATTTAAAAAGTAGGCAACAACTTTTATATCTTCTTAGATTATCTAAGCACAAAGAGAAAAAATAATAGTCTTTGGAATGCTGCATACCTGCATTGTTCATATCTGCTATAGTGTTAGCCACTAGTTACATGTGGCTTTTTCTTTTGGTACTGAGGATTGAACCTAGGGGTGCTTTACCACTAAGTAACATTGCCAGCCCTTTCTATTTTTTATTTTGTGACAGGGTTTCATTAAGTTGCCTAAGCTGGTCTCAAACTTGCTTCAAACGCCCAAATTCCTGGGATTAGAGGGTACTCCACCATGCCTAGTTACAGATAGCTTTTTATACTTATATAAAAATTAAATAAAATTATAATTTCAGTCCCTAAGTTGCAAATTCACAGTTCAAGGGCTCAATAGTCACGTTTTAATTGTCATTTCCTTAATCATCAAGGATGCTAAATATCAGACAGCACAGATTTAGAATATTTTCATCACTATAGAAAGTTTTGTTGGAACTATTCCTTTCTATATAACAGTATGTTTAATTACCTAACATTAAAACATCATTCCTAGCTGGGCATGGTGGTGCACGCCTATAATCCTAGTGGTTTGGGAGGCAGAGGCAGGAGGACTACAAGTTCAAAGAAAGCCTCAGCAACTTAGCGAGGCGCCTTCCCCCCCCCCAAACTCCCCAGAAAGACTGCGGATAAGGCTCAGTGGTAAAGTGCCCCTGGGTTTAATCCCTGGTTCAAAAAACAAAACATTATTCCTCTAAAGGAGCTTCTATTCCCCCTGCTCCAAATCATTCCAGTCTTTGTATCTATTTTTTATTCAGCTGTGGTTTGGGCAGTAACAAAAAAAGAATTAAAACTGAAGATACTCTCTAGATGAGCTCTACGATCAAAATCTGGATTCAACTTGGAGTTTTCCAACATGATGAGCTAACTCTTCACACATTGCAAACATAGCATCATCAAAAATACATGCATATCTACTTACCACTAAGATCATTTATGTGGTTATAAGACAAATTCAGTTTAGTCAGATTAATTAGTGCTTCAAGTCCTAAAAATAAAATAAAGCAGAACAAAATAAAATAAAGCTTTTACAGGATTTAAAAAATTAGAAGTATAACATTACAGTACTATTAGACTGTACTGAAGCAAATCTGATGTAACAATGAAATCAATTTTATGAAAATAATTAGTTTTAAAAAACAAACTTTTCTATAAGAAAACTTTTGTATGATGAGTTTTAGGGTCAGTTTTCAAAAGTTTATGGTACTATCTATTCCACTCTATTTGGGGGAAAAATAGACAAATCACCTTCTTCATGTTAAATATTACATGAAAATCACTTACAAACCTTCTATTCTTGTGAGCAAATTGCAGGACAAATTCAAAGTGCATAGTTTTGTCAGTGTGTTTAGCCCTTCAATTTGACTTATTTGATTAGATGACAGATCTAAATGTCGTAAATTCCAAACATGATCAATGGCTTTGATCTTGGAGATGTTATTGCAATGAAGATTGATGGTATGAAGGGTTGAATCTAAAGATAACTCTGATATGCTACAAAAGAAAATATATATTATAAAAAAGTAAAAATGTATTTTATAAGCAAGACCAAATAATTAAAACTAACCAAATAGCACATAAATAACTATGTGCTCTGTTCATTCCAGAATGATGCCCTTTCCATTTGTGCCTTGAAATGTGTAATCATAAAACACAGTGCTTCTTACAACATAAACCAATATTTCAGACCATTTATACAAATATGAAGCTATTCAAGGAGGTTGAGTGATGCTGGGCATTTCTAGCTTTTATGTGCAAAGTCTGTGGCAGATAGCAAAGGAATACTGAATAGTCAATAATTGCAAAGGCTTTTGAATCCTAATTTGCACATTACCTTGCTGTGTGACCTGAACAAATGGAAACTTTTTAAGCCTCAGATTCTTTATATCATTTAATTCTGACAACTATACACAGTATGTTATCATAAGAATACTGAAATTTTTAGAAATTAAATAACTTGCTCACATTCCTGCAGTTATGGTAACAGAGCCCAGATACAAATCTAATCTCACAAAAGAAGTTTATAATCTTACTTTCTTCACTGTGTACAATGGTTATTTAATCCAGAATATAAATGATACCAAAGAAATCACTAACTATTGGTATTTTTTCCATCCCTGTCCTCTATTTCAAGTTGGAAGGCATGTCCCCTAAAGAGAACTCATCTCATGACTCCTTCAATTACTATTTGTAACTGGAACTTCTCTTATAATAGTTCAAGGCATACAAACTACAGTGCACAGTTTAGAGAAGCCAGATATAGAGTCACTAACTTCACAGGCATCAGTAGTAGCTGTAGCAACTACCATAAACCTGTAGAAACCTAAATGGCAGCAAGGAAGCATTTGCAAATCTCAAAATAGCAATTTCTAAAGCCGTTTGAAGCACTTGCCAATTACATAACTTTTGTCATTTATTGAATTCTTAGTGCCAGATCTTGTGCTATTAACACATTCTCCAAAATATAATCCTTTATTGTCTAATGCACTACACTTTCTGGAAATCAATACTGTGCATACAATGTGGGAGAGTTGAAAAAGCAGAGAGTGAAACAAATGAGTTTGAATTTCGAATTTAATTACTCACCAGCTGTATGAAGTCTGGTATAAGAAAAATTAACTTGCAAGCTGCTGTGAAGATTAATGATAATGTGCATAACCCCCAATACATGGAAGACATTCAGGAAATAGCAGCTGTTATTAAATAAAAAATGTACACATTCCTTTGAAAAACATCTTCCCAGGTAATCTGGTAAATTTTAGATCAGGATTGACAACAAGATGCATAATTATCAGTAGCAAGACTGGCAGAGAGCAGGGCACTCCACAAAGGTATATCATGTGCAAAGGCTGAGACACCTACAAAAGAATTGCTAGTAGCTCAGTGAGGCTAGAAAGTAACTTCAGAAACTGGAGACTGAAAAGGTAGGCAGGGCCAGGCGGTGGCGCATGCCTGTAATCCCAGTGGCTCAGGAGGCTGAGACAGAAGGATGGAGAGTTCAAAGCCAGCCTCAGCAAAACCTAGGCACTAAGCAACTCAGTGGTTGAGTGTCCCTGAGTTCAATCCCCATTACCCCCGCAAAAAGGAAAGAATAGGTAGGCAGGGGCCAATAAGTAATGCAGAATCAAGAGACTTAAAAGCCGTGTACAACTTCGGGTAGCATGAGATAGAAAAGGGAAACTCAGTAAGATATGTTCAGTACTTTCGAAAGGTATATGAATAAATGTGTGGTAGTGCTTTGTATAGAAGAAATGAGAATGGTGGTAAAGATAAGTGAGGCAAAACCAGTAAGGACCAGAGATCGCGTGTTACACAGTTGCCGGAGATGCTATGCTGTCACTGTTTTTCAGAGTAACAGAAGAGAATCAAGAGGACAGGAGAAGACCAATGTTTAAAGGGCAACAAAGCAATAACCCTTAAAGAAAGAGGAGCAGCAGAAGGAAAGGTGGTTGAAGGCTGGTGGAGCAGGTGATGGGGCAGGTTCAAGGCCGGGCAGAGCCATGAGAACTGCCCAGGGCAGAGGCAGGTAGGACTCACACTCCCGCCCGTTCACGGAGCATTTTCGCAGAGAAGGTCGGCCGCAAGCCAGGGGGCTGGGGTCCCGCCAAGCCACACACCACCCACGGTCGCAGCCCTGGGGGTGCGCGGGCCGCTCCCGGTTGCCGAACGCCCTTTACCTCTGCAGGCCTTTGTCCATGAAGCACACATCCCCGCAGCTGCTGTCGCCGTCCTCGTTTTCTACTTCTGCTTCTACCGCCGCCTCCATGGTACCGGCGACAGGAAGCGGGGACTTAACTGGCGGCCAGCACTGGGTCCGAGATCCTGGAACACGCCTCTTCGGAGCGCGGTGGTACAGCCCGGGTGTGGGGGGCGGGGCGAAGACCCTCCCTCCAACCGACGCTGGCACTTTCCCGCCCCGACCGTGCCGCAAAGCTGGAGGCTCGGTCTCCACGCAGTGTTTCGCTTCCTTTTACGGCATCTGTGTCGCAGCTCTGGGGCTTGCCGTAGAGCAAAGGTTTTTCTTTTTCTCCCCAGGGAATGTTGAAGTTGGGAATATGTGGCGGCACCCTGTTTGTTTCTCTGTGATTTTTTTTTTTTTTCGCTATAACCTACTGCCTTCAGAAGATGGTTTCGCAGCATTTGGCTTTACATAACTTTCCATAGCCATACATTCGTATAAATTGTTCTCTTACTCGCCGTTGCACCTCCTGTTGATTCACTGAACGTTTGTGCACGTCTTGCTGTGCGTTGTTCACTATGCAATGCGCAATTAGTGGGATCCGTTTTGGTTACTGCAAGCATTTGTCCACTGGAGGGAACGGTTGTCATACAGTTTAGCGTGGCAAATGCTAGGAAGAGTCCAGGGTCATCAAAGCTAACTAGAATCCTAGGGGAAGGGATTAACGTTTGGAAAAGGAAGTGATTGGTCTTGCTGGGTCAAGGGAAATTATGGAAATAACTGACCTAGGTGGGAAAATAATACATGTACAAGGTCCTTCCTGGCTAGATTTTACTGTAAGCCATGTTAAAGAATGTAGATCAAAGATGTATCTTAAATCTGATCCTGTCATCCTGAACTAAAATCTTTGGTGGTTCCCTGTAAGGAACCAAATAAAGGTCTCCAATCTTTTTTTTTTTTTTTTTTTAATGTTTATTTTTTAGTTGTAGTTAGACACAATATCTTTGTTTTATTTATTTATATGTGGTGCTGAGGATTGAACCCAGGGCCTCACACGTGCTAGGTGAGTGCTCTACCGCTGAGCCACAACCCCAGCCCAAGGTCTCCAATCTTTAAAAAAAAAAAATTTAGACAAAAAGTATTTACTACATACCTGTGCTGTACATAGCATTACATGCTACCCTAGGCCATCTATTTTGTTTACATATAATATGGAAGAATTAAGGTTAATAAGCCAATTTATTTTGACTATAATTTGGTTTTATGGCTAGTATTTTACACTAAAAATTGTTCCTTTTCTGTATATTTTCTGTGTAGTTCATCCATAGCTTTGCTATTCACAGTCTGATTACTGTCTTTTAAAATTTAGTTTTCTTTCAAATCTGTCATTGAAAATATTTCCAAATTTAACTACCATTCAGCTTTTACCTAACATATTCTAAAACTCAGGGCTACGATCTATTGTTTCCTATAACTGCACACTTTGCAAGATATTCTTCCAAAAAGAGGTGGAGGTGGCATCTGTTTACTGGCTCTTAGATTCTGTGTTGTCTGGTGACTTTTTTTGGCCATAAGTATGTGTTGGCAGTGCTGATGTATTACTTTCAAGTCAAGCCCTCAGAACATCTTCCATAGTATGCTCCAAGGTTGCTTAACCATCATTATCTAGGAATAATATGTGGAGTATAACCAATGTGATCCTGCAATCTGTACACGTGGAAAAATAACATTACGTACCCCATTTGAATCAAATGTATGATATGTCAAGATCATTGTAGTGTTTTGAGCAACTAATAAAAAATTTTTTAAAAAAAGGGACAATGCATTTGACATAACTCTTACGTAGTGTGAGGTCAAGCATGAGATAGGCACTTTGGGCATCCAGGTGGCATTGTGTGGGAGCCACATAGTATCTCTTCTGGAAATGGCAAATTATTTTGATAGGCTGATATGTGGTAAGGATTTGTGTGAGGAGGAGAGTGCAATAGTTGAGTATAGAAAATATCACTTGAGAGAGCTTGTCTTGTAGCCATGAGTTTTAGAATATGGTAGGTAAAAGCTTAATTGGCATCCTGGAGGAACTGTACAATTCCAGGATATTTTTAGGAGAAAAATAAGGTTGATGAAAAAATGGAGTGATAAGAAATAAGGGAGGTATACTGGGAAATGAACTGATGGAATCATATTGTTATAGCATGTGTATGTACAAATACGTAACACTGAATTCCACTATTATAGTGCACTAATAAAAATTAAAATAAACAGTAAAAATAGAAAAAAATTAGTAGCTTTTCTATATACCTATAGTGAACTTGTTGAGAAAGAAATCAGGAAAACAATTTCATTCATAATAACCTCAAAACAACAAACAACCTACCAAATAACCAACCAAACGAACGAACGAACAAAAAAACATGGGAATAAACCTAACCATGGAGATGAAAGACCTCTACAATGAAAATCCTGTTAATTGCATCAACATTATGTTAAGTGAAATAAGCCAGTCTCAGGAAGACAAGTACCTTATGGTCTCACTTATACGTGAAATATAAAAAAGCTAATCTCACAGGAATTTAGAATAGAAGAGTGGTGGACAGAGACCTGGAAGAGGACAAGGAAGAGAGAGATGGAGAAGGGTTGATCAAAGGGTAGGTAGTAAGTTTCACTTAGGAGTAAGAAGTTACAGAGCGCAGAGTAGGGCGAATACAGGTAACGATTGTGCACCTAGAATACAGAATTTTTTTAAAAAAATATTTTTTAGTTGTTGATGGATCTTTATTTTATTTATTTGTATATGGTGTTGAGAATCAAACCCAATGCCTCACACATGCCAGGCAAGCGCTTTTCCACTGGGATTTTGAATGCCTTTGCCATAAACAAGTGATAAATGTTTGAGTAGATAGATGTATTGAAACATCATGTGGTACTGTATTAATATATGTAATTTATGTGTTTTTATACACAGGTTAAAGATAAATTTAATTTTAAAGGAAATTATATACATGCCACATAATGCTTAAGGCCATTATCTCCTTATAATTACTTTGTGTTTAGAGCCTTTGAGTTCCTCCTTTCTAGCTAGTCATAAAATATGTAATAGGTTATTGTGAACTATAGAACACTAAAACTTATAAATTTTATCTAATTGCACTTGAGTACTCACTATCAAACCTTAAATCCACCAAGTGTATAGTTGGTTGTACAAAATTCTGATATTTGTGGTATCAAAACATGGTGTACCATAGCTGTAAAAAATGAAATCTTTGTTAATATTAAATAAAATACCAGTACTATCTGTCACTTTTTTAAAAACTAAATTTTACCAAATTGTTTCTAATGGCAGAGAAGAGTAAATGTATTTGAGTGGGTGAGAATATGTACACATTGGATGGATATACAGTATGCTTTTGAGAATATTAGTCTAAAGGGAAATTATAGAATTTTAAGGTCTGTAACCTATTTATTATTTCACCACTTACTGACTAGCAGGCAGATGAGAAGAATATGTGTCTAGTGTGAGCACCTGAGAGTCTCACTTGGTATTTTATGTGACCAACTATGTATAGGTTTGAATTCATAAAAGTCCACTTTTTTCAAATCAATGTCATATTTAAAAGAAGATTCAGATATATAATATATTCCAGAGGGCTTTTCCCCAAGGTATGTTTAAGAGAGAGAGAGAGAGAGAGAGAGAGAGAGAGAGACAGAGAGAGAAAGAGCGCAGAAGTTAACAAATTGAAGATCTTCAAAATGTAATACTTTTTTTTCAGTATACTTGATTTCTCAAAATATTAAAGTGAAAACCTACCTCACTGTAGTAGATTTTAATAAATATAACTATGCTTGATAAAGCTTTGGTTATATTTTTGAGATTTCAACAGCATGAAAATTCTACCAAGATTTATTTCAGGATCCCTTATTTCCGTATCCCAGGACCCTTAATTCAAAACCAATGTGCTGTACTAAGATTCCTTGAGTCTTCTCTTTGGTGATATCTCTGATACTTGGGGAATGTACTTTGGCTATTTCTTGGGAGGTATCTCCTGCTGGGGAAACCAATAGAGGGTAAGTTTTTCTAAGGTCTGACTTATGATATGCTTTCTGCTGAGCTCTTGAGTGCTACCTTTATTTTTTTCTTTTAGGAAATTAGATGCCTTTTAAGAATCTTTTGATTATATGATTAGATTCAAAAGTTTTGCTTGTTGGAAAATTGTCTGTTAGTAACAATACTGTTTCCTCGTTTATACTTGTCATTATTTGTAGTAGAGGAAATTCATAGAGACAAGGATAGGCAAAGACCCTTGGAGTCCTTTCTTCCACTCAGTCCTGGGACCTGAGAAGTTCAAAAGATCTCTCTTCAGAATGACATCCTTCAAACACACTTTGCCTTTCAATTTGCTAAAAATTGTATGAAAATGACTCATGCTTGTCTTAATTTCCCTATCACAGTCTGGCTTTGGAAAATATATCATCTTCAAGCTTTTCATCTGCTGGAAAATGCAAATATTTTTTCAGGTTATACCAATAGACAACCCAATAATTAGGTTAGGGAGTCTCAAGACTTTGAGGTATACAAGTGATGTGTTCAACTGATTGTTGTCTACAATATGAACTCTTATCAGAGGTACAATCAACATGGATGATTTTCATTATAGTCATCAAACTCACCAGAGCTTGCCAATTAGCCAGTGATGATAGTTAATTTGTACTTTGATAGCAGGTATGAGTTTGGAGTAGTCCATGATTTTGTAATGTTGAGAAATGAGAGTATATTCTTTAAACTCTGTAGGCATTCTAATGAAACAGTCAACCCATTTAAGAACTTTTCAGTGCTTTAAGGCTTACAAAGAAGGTAGCTATCATAAAAGTATGGGTCTATACACAAAGGCAGAATGTGTAGGCTAAAAGAAATGCCCTGGTAGATGACTGATCATGCCTGACAAGCAGCCCTCTTTGAAGTACTGCTCCCATTATAGTATGAGAAGCTATTTAGAGGGGTTCTAAGAGGCTATCATAAGATGCCAGACTTTTGGGTTGTGGCTATAGATCAGTGGCAGAGCACTTGCCTAGCATGTGTGAAGCATTGGGTTGGATCCTTAGCATTGCATAAAAATAAATAAATGAATATTAAAATAATTATT